AGGCGAACATTGTGACGGGAGATACTAGTGTCGGTGACAATTTTACACGCGTCCGCTCCCGCGCCCGTATCCGCTCCCGCGCCCGCGTCCGCTCGAGCGCATAAACATCGCTCATTACACATTAGATCCGTTCTGAGTATACACATTTGTATTCAATAATGCGGTGCGACAAAAACTAGTCGCGCATTCGGATGAGTGGCGCGAGGTCTCGTTACCCGGGCCCGCGTCGCCCCGCGCCCAATTTACAAATAAAACTCGGGGAACGTCCGGCCGCCGGCAAAAACTGACCGCACTCCTCCGCTGCTGTGCATATGAATGGACCACTTTTTGCTGGCCGCTGGAGCGCATACTATGTCGCTGCCACAATCACTGCGCCAGGTCACCATGACGCGCCGTTTATGCACAACCTGATTTACCATGCTCGTTCGAGCATACGAACAACAACAATAACGTAATATCTTATGTATAAAATTCTCGTGTCACAGTTTTCGTTCCCATACTCCTCCGAAAGGGCTTGACCGATTCTCATGAAATTTTGTGAGCGTATTGAGTAGGTCTGAGAATCGGCTAACATCTATTTTTCATCCCCCCAAATGTTAGGGGTAGTCCACCGCTATTTTTTTTTTATTTTAAGGCAAAACAACGTTTGCCGGGACAGCTAGTTACATATAAAAATATATACAGTTTCTTCTGATTGAATGGCAGATTGAAGAGTTGAGTTAACATTCATATTATTAGATAATAGTAAAAAAAACGAAGCAAAAAAAAATATTTTCTTATACAATTAACTGAAATGCCTAAAGAGTTCCTGTTTTCTTTGAACTACGTATAATTGATATGAATATTATGTTAACATTTAATATGGTAAAGGACACCACTTTTCTTCCGGTGGTCGCGGGTTCGATTCCTCGCACAGCACAAACATTTGTATTCATGAGTATGATTGTTTGTATCTGACTTGATGTTTTCTATGTATTTACGCAAAAAAATATATGTATTCGTATCAGTTATCTAGTGCCCATAATACAAGTTTTAGCTAGTTTAACTTGAGTGTATATGGCGCTGTGTGAATTGTCCAGGGTTATTTATTTCTTTTATATTTCCCACGGAACTGCTACATTTCATTAGTGCGAATAAGTTTACCATCGCATCAAAGGTTCCTATAAAAGTTTCTATTTTGCTGTACGACTTCTAAGTAAAATAGTGTGTGCGGGATGCAAGCGCCATAGTAGCGGCCCGACGGTCGACGGTCGGCGGACAGCAGATCCTCTGATTATGTAACGAGCGCACATTCAGCGGCCGATTTTTTGCTACAGCACTGACAATGTCCTCGGAGTGGGCAGCGCATGGAAAATTCAACAGATTATCTCGCCGGTCACTACCCCGCTTTGTATCCATCACAAGATTGACACCACACCGAGACTGCCTCGTGCAGATGTACATGTACTTCACAGATTTATACATACACTAGCTACTCGCCCCGGCTTCACACGGGTGTACATGCATTATATATATAAACCTTCCTCTTGAATCACTCTATGTATTAAAAAAACAGCTTCAAAATCCGTTGCGTGGTTTTAAAGATTTAAGCATACATAGGGACGGACAAACAGTGACAGCGACTTTGTTCTATACCATTTAATGATACATATATATATACACTAGCTGACCCGCGTGACTTCGTCTGCATCACACTTATCATTATATATCGCCCAATTTATATAATATCTTTTTAAATTATAGCATATATGATATTTTACCCCCTTAAGGGTAACATTTTTACAAACTTTGGATGTCATATTTATTCATATTTAATCCTCAAAAATAGGTTTCAAGCTTTAAGCTTCAAAAATGACGATTCTTCCATACAATCTTTCATCCCCACTTTCAACCCCTTACAACCCCTTTTATAGAAAAAGTGCATTCAGGCTCGATGGAAGTTGGAGGAGGCGTCAACAAATTTTTATAAGTCTTCCAAATTGTAACCTCGTGTGGAACCCGCCTCATAAATATTTATTTCTTGTTTAAAGATCAAAATATCAAATGAAAGTAAGTGCGATAAGACACGCACACATTTATAGACGTCTAAAAAATATCAATCCCAAATATCCCGGGATTCATTCATTTAATCTCGAAAATTTCGGTACTAAAATATGACCATCCCGATCATCGAATCCTCTAATCCAGATAGAAAAGAATACGAGCTGAGTTTCTTGTCAGCTATTTTCATCTCGAAATCATTCTGAACTGACGGTAAATTTGACATATCATAAGAGTCTGTAATAGGCCTATATTAATAAAGATATATTTTTTTAAATATGAAATTGAAGTCGTAAAGATTCAACATTCTCCAGTGTTAACACCGACGATAGAATTTGATTGAGATGTTGCCGGGACCCCGACGGTAGTGTCTCCAAGGCGCAAATGACAACAACCGAGTCTACCTGACTCCGCTCGTGTCCAGATAAGATCTACACGCTTCTATGTTATTATAAAGGATTATAAATACAATTTTCATTACCAACTAAAAACATAGGTTTTAGTAAACCTTTGAAGTGAATTGAAAACTACGAGTTAGTCAGGCTCATTTTTTGCTATTTTCCCCACAAATATTGTCAGATGTCTCTCGCAACTGATAAGCAAATTTCGCACAATGATTAAAGTTTAAAGATTCAGTATCCTGGGTCTATATTTGCACATAATTATACTGTTATATTTCAAGCAAATTATTATTATTAATAGGTATACAAATGTGGTACAGTCACCTTACCTTTAGTCGAAGTCAAATAGAAAAAATTTAAATTTCTACAATATTACCTACTTCAATAAGGACATTGTTTGGTATGAAACTTTAAAATTATTAAAGGAATCATTAAAATTAAGAATTCACTCTAACATCTACCATATTAAAATCAATCATAAAACATGAAATGTAACAGTACAGACCGTACAGTTGCATTCTGATGTATTCCCTATTAAGTACCTGTTGTTGTAGTCTGTTTGAGTTTATTCGGTCAGATAGGTAGTTTAATAAACAATGTGTTACAGGTAATTAAAGGAGCTCGTGCCTATCTGCGGTCACATAATCCAAAACAATGAAATTTATAATTTTTACATAGTGGTGTAAGTTCGTGACCGGCCGGTATCGCGAATCAATGCGCCGGCGCAGCGCAGCGCAGGGCGCGGGCGCGGGCGCGGCCCGTGTATAACGCGCGATCATAACGTTGATAACACGACTGACTTATTGATTCCCTCTTCAATTAGAGCCACGGCCCGGGAGGCCACCGCAGCCGCGCTATGGACCTATCTTCTAATTTAATTACATACAAGTAGTTATTTATGTCATAAAGTGGGCAGACAGGATACAACGACTCGACTATTATAAAGTATTCGTTAAACTCTCTCGATTTGTACTGATTGTATCTATCCAGAAGCTCGGATTTTACTAATTTTGAACACCATTTTCGTGTCCATTTTAGTTCTACTTCAATTAAAGCGTACCATTTATAGAGATCTTATACTGTGTATACAACCAATAATGCTTCTTTAGAATATTTCAGCGGCATGGCAGTCAATTGTCACAAATTTAATATCTAAATATACATAACACAAAGGTGACTGAGATAGTGATCTATCAACGCACAGCCTAAACCACTGGACGGATCGGGCTGAAATTTGGCATGCAAGTAGATGTTATAACGTAGGCATCCGCTAAGAAAGGCTTTTGATTATTTCTACCCCCAAAGGGATAAAATAGGGGATGAAAGTTTGTATGAAACTTTGTCAATTTTAAACCGATCGGGCTGAGACTTTGCATGCATAAATCTACTATGACGTAGGCATCCCCTAAGAAAATATTTTGATAAATTCCACCCCTGAGGGGATAAATTAACGTGAGCTAAGCCGCGGGCAAAAGCTAGTTAAGCTAAATAGCAACGCATTTCAGTCAGTATGGCATTTTATTTAATATTTAGTTTATTCCATTTAACTTTAAAATTATGTATGTAGTTTATGTAAGTGCATCTAGTTTAATATATGGTTATTGTTATGTACATAAATTTTAATTCACGTAATATTTATTATTATTTTCCTTCATCATCATTATATATTTATTACTATTTAGTTTTCTCCTGTTCATCTACAGGTGTTGTTTAGAATTACAGCTTTTTGGAGAAGTATATTTTCATACTTCTCCAAAAAGTTGTAATTCTAAACACCTGTAGAATAGTCCGTAAATTTTTGTCATCGTAATCATATATTTTATAATTGTCATTGTTTGGTGATATTCACACGCAATGACAAGTTTAACACCTCATCAAAGGGAGATATGTAATAAATATATAAAAAAACACAATAATAATAATAACAAAGTACACAGATCTAGCAATATAATTAAAAAAACAATGGAAAGTCATGTTGCAATAATATATGGTTGTAGACTCAATAACGGTCGAAATTTGATCACCAATAGAAAAGATCACTTCCAGTAGGTGGTCAGATTTCCACTCAATACTTGTAGTCTCACACATGCTAACAGAATTAAACAAAATAATTTATTAATTAATGAAACGGACTTCCACAAAATTACACTTAATTCTATAAAATATGATCTTTAAATTCCTAGCATTGATGAAAGTTGTTCTACATTTTTTTTTTTATCACAGGGAACAAACGAGCATGCGGCTCACCTCATGGTAATCGATTACCGCCGCCCATGACCACCCGCAACACCAGGGGAATTGCGAGTACGTCGTCGGCCTTTTAAAAAGGAATAAGCTCTTTATTTGAAGATTTCAATATCGTATCGGTTCGGAAATACCATTGCTTGAAGGTGATTCCACAATGTGGTTGTGCGTGGCAAAAAGTTTCTAGAAAACCGCACTGTGGAGGACCGCCATTCATCCAGATGATCAGGATGGATGGCGGATGGTACAGTAGTGAAATTCAGCAGTTGGTATTAATTCGAACATTATATAAATATGTAATTGTGTCCATATTACCTTCACATAACGTTGCCGTGCGTTGACTAGACACAGCGACATGTTTGTTGTGTCGCGTAACAGCTGCAGCCACTAAATGTCATGCGGAGTCACTTGTCCACTAGTGGGCACAACGAACACTACACTCAACGCTATTAACAACTCCAATTCGCTTCATGCAATACAACATTCCACTTATATTTTAAAAATTTTATTCCTTTTAATAAAAAAAAAAATGTTATTTATGAGGATTGAATTAAAATTAGTCAACTGTCCCATATATTAATATTAAAAGAAGTCTAAGAATAAATAATTATTGATGTTAATGATGTAGATAAGCTTAGAAAGCTTAATGAAGCTTCAGACGATGTCGATGCCGGTACCGCGGCGGACGCGACGCGACGTGCAAGGACGGGCTTGATTGAAAGCCCTCACTGACCACTTTCACCGTAACTGAGTTCAATAGGGCGTATCAAATAGCGATATTAATTGTAGAGACGCAGCCAGACGTGTCGACGTACAGACGTATGTTACATATATGTCAATATGTGTATTGATAACTAAAGATAATGCTATCGTTGGGCAAGCAATACGAGTAAGCTAATTGGTTAGGCATATCATTCAATTCTATGTAAAACATAACGTTAAGTCATTGAGTGTGTACAGGACTCCTTACATTTGGGCCGCTGACTGGTACGACTATTCCTTATTTTGAAATATTTATATTTTAGATCGGTTGCTATGGTTTTGTTATTCCCTTTTAATCATTCCTTGTATTGCTCTTGTTTTCATATAGTTTACGACATATATTTTTATAATATACTGTTCTTTTAAATATTGCATCTTTAATTACCACCATCGTTGGCTGCACCGACCCCAGCGCCCTATACACAGTCCCACACAGATTGGGTGTTGTTTTTCCTCCTTGTTTCTGCTAGCGTACAGTTTAAATGTAAAACATATTAATACTCAATACTCAATACTCAATATTTATTGCATTCCATAACATTACAATGAAAGATGTTTATAATTCGTTTTCGATATTAACACAGTGTTATATAATTTTAGAAGTATAGAATAGAATAGAATAGAAAATCATTTATTCAAATAAACTTAATTTAAGCACCTTTGAATAGTCATAACAATTTGTTTTTTATCTACCACTCGTTCGGAAAGCTGTCTCATCACAAGAAGAACGAGCAAGAAACCGTGGGTGAGGACACGCTGTCCGCAGCGGGTGTATTCTGTGGTCCAAGGAATAAGCATCAGCGATTGGTATCTCAGTCGAACCATCTACTGAATTCTTCTCTAAAATATGGTCGAGCGCAGTGATGGCTGGCTCATCCATCATACTCGTGAACGAGTGCTGCTTGTGGGACTGCTCTGCTCTTATCACTACGATTGATTTAATCTTATTGTATACATATTTATATTTTACCTAAATAAATTAGTGCTGGTTGGTAGATTATATTCACACGTTTCGACTTGTAAATGTAAACTTACAAGGATTACTTAAAAGAGCAACACGCAAGTTTCTTGCTCGTTCTTCTTGTGATGAGATAGCTTTCTGAACGAGCGGTAGATGAAAAAATGTTATGACTATTCAAAAGTGCTTAAATTAAGTTTATTTGAATAAATGATTTTATATTCTATTCTATTCTAGAGACATATGGAGGTTTTTTTAAGTTTTCTAAAATTGAACAAACCCATTGTGCTTCAATCATCAATGAGTTACGGTACCGTTTTAGCATCGGATGGGACGTATGCTTGTGTACTGCGTTTGTGATATAAAATAGATTCAAAAACAAGGTGTCATGTCCCCTACGATCGAACCCCGTCCAATTCAAACGAGGTCGCAATTACAACGACCTGAGCTGAGGTTCGAGACCCTAGCGGTGGTCTCAGACTAAAGTCGTATCCGTCAGTCGAATTGGTTTTTTTTTTATATTAAAATTAGAGCGCATTTGACCGCAATCTCAACTGATGTTAAGTGATTATGTGGTCTAAGCTGTTATAAAATAATGCCTATTCACTCTTGATTTGAAAGACCCAATGTTGTAAGAGGCAGGAAAAATAGACGCTCCATAAGTCCTCCCGCGGGTCTGGAGTGTCATCTGCACTCGCCCTCTGTCCGGTGAAGCTAAAAAGGCCAGCAACAGCATTTGAGTAGTCCGAAAAAAAATCACGCTGGTAAGTCCTGACCGGGGCGCGGTAGCGTTGCACGCACAGTTATTTCCTCTTTTTTCTCATGCCTACGTTTACTTGCGATATTTATACGCGATGCCTATCTACCGGAGTTGAAGTCGTGATGATAAACACATGTGATAATTTTATCTGAGCGACGCGACAGCCTCTCTATTGTATCGACTTCTTAGCGGGTAATTTATTCACTACATTATTTATTAGTATCAGGAATATTAATTAGATTATAAAGATATAAAAGTAAAGTCCAGCAAGGTAGACCGACGATCTGGTCAAGATCGCTGGAAGGCATTGGATGCGAGCAGCGCAGGACCGATCGTCGTGGAGATCTTTGGGGGAGGCCTATGTCCAGCAGTGGACGTCTTCCGGGCTGCGATGATGATGATGAAAGATATAAAATATAATTTAAGATATAAATCCTGCAGTATTATATACCTAATTTATTTTTAATATTCAAGTTATTTTTACTAGACGCATATTTACATCAGAGATGTTACGGAGCTCCGAAATCGTAACCGAAACTATCGGATATCCGATATAAAAAAATATCCGTAACCGTAACCGAATCCGAAATAAGTTTCGGATAATATCGGATAGGGACGGAGCCTAATTGAGACATGTTATGTATCTATTTTATTAGCTATTTGTATTTTACTTTTGAAATTCCTTAAAATATTAATATCCGTAACCGAAATTATCCGAAACTAAGGGATAATCCGAAATAATTTCATATCCGGATCCGTATCCGGTATAATAATCATTCCTATATCCGAAACCTATCCGTATCCGATATTTCATACCCATAACTCCCTGGTTTACATACTAACTTTATCCCGTGATACTCGTATCGCCCTCCACAACAACTGACCTACAAAAAAATGCTACTTATATAACAAACCTTACGATGATTGATGCAGCCGTTAGCCAAAGCGTGAAAGCGTAACAAACTGACAAACCTATTTACACATATGTATTACTAGGCTATACTAAAAATGTTAAACTCATGAAGGTCACACTTTTTTTCGCTGGAGTTAAAGTCGTTTGTATTGAAAACATTATATCTATATATATATGACATACAGACGGAGCTGGCGTGAATGATGCCCACTAACGGCACTCTCTATATGTGTAAAAGTACACGGTTTAATTATAGCCCAGTTGTGATGGTCAATGTGGCCACTGGACACACTACTCGCTAATAGTTCACGGTGTTGCCAACTTTATCCTTTTAAGGCAGATCTAGCCCTTTCTCCGCTTATTTAGCTATATTAAAAACTGCCGTAGGCATGAAGTCTGTAAGAATATTTGGAATTTTATTTGACTTTTATTTTTTACTATTATTATATAAAAATGTAATTATATAAGTAGAGATATCAGTTATCACTAGCTAACTCTTAGAACTTAAGTTATTCAATCCCAAATTGATATTAATTAGCAAACTATATTCAAACTAGTGACCGTCCCGTCCCGGCTTCGTATAGATGCATTACAAATCTTTGATTTTCTCGGCTCGTTCTATACTACAACACGCATGTATTATACTTCTAAACTTTCCTTTAAAATCACTCTATGTATTACTGAAAACAGCATTACAATCCATTCAATAAATTTAAAAGATATAAGTGAACAGACAACGGCAGCGACTTTGTTTTTTTACAGTGTAAACACAAATACAAATTTATATACAAATGTAGGCCATGTATAAATTTGACTTAGCCCATAAATCTGCCACTGAGCTGGCAACACTGTCCGTGGCCCGGGACGCGCCGTAAAAACAATCAAGCTGCCGTCAATTACAGTAGCAACTAGTTTTTTAATCGCGAGAACTTTCTTCTATCTCCATATTCATTACAAAGAAAGGGTGAAATTATACGCGCTCCATGAATATGCTAACGGCTGCATGGTAAATGCTAAAGTTGAATAACACTGCGTATCGACTCCACAACACCACACAGACGGATAAAAATAGATCGCAACTGCATACACTTAGCCAGACTATTTTTGGACTTAAATTTAGACAGTGCCTAAATGTAGGTAAAAATGAATCGCAACTGCGTACACTTAGTGGGACTATTTTTGGACCTAAATTTTGACAGTTGCTAAATTTAGGTAAAAATGGATCGCAACTGCGTACACTTAGTGGGACTATTTTTGGACCTAAATTTAGGCAGTACCTAAATGTAGGTAAAAATGGATCGCAACTGCGTACATTTAGTGGGACTATTTTTGGACTTAAATTTAGGCACTGCCTAAATGTAGGTAAAAATGGATCGCAACTGCATATACTTAGCTGGAATATTTTTGGACCTAAATTTAGGCACTGCCTAAACTTTCGGTAAAAATGAATCGCAACTGCGTACACTTAGTGGGACTATTTTTGGACCTAAATTTTGACAGTTGCTAAATTTAGGTAAAAATATTATAGATTGCAATTGCATACACTTAACGGAGATTATTGTGGATCTAAATTTAGGCACTGCCTAAATTTAGGTAAAAATAGATCGCCGTTAAGTGCCATCTATTTTTGGACCTAAAAATAGATTGCAATTAACGGCGATTAATGTGGATCTAAATTTAGGCACTACCTAAATTTAGGTATTTTTGGACCTAAACTTAGTCTTATTTTTACACAGTATAAAATGAAATTCGCATTCGAAAAGACTTCCGCTGTTTATTCGCTTACAACTTTTAAAATATGCAACAGATTTTAACGAAGTTTTAGCAATAGATATAGTGATTCAAGATGAAGATTTATATGTATAATACATGTACACCCGTACAAAGCAGGGGTAGATAGCCAGTATATTATAGATTGGAGAAAATGTTTCTAGAATTAATAAAAACTACACACAGATGGTATTTAGTGAAGATTCAAGATTAATATTAATTGATAATGTTTATAATATTGTTAGTGTTTAATATACGTTATTTATATTATTAACTGTATTAACACGAGTTGTTTTATGGTAAAGGTATTTTAAACTTTCTTTTAATTCTCATTTAAATTCATTCTTGTCAGAACGGTCGTGGTCATTACGTAGTCTCGACGTTTCGAGGCTGATGTCACTAGCCGCGCGACAGTCGCCATTTGTCTCTTATTCGTGTTAAGACCCGGTTAATAATTTAAATAATGTAAATAAAGGTACGTATAAGTACTATAGATATTAATAATAATAATAATAATATATATATATATATATATATATTGGATAATACAATATATATGTGTTAAATAAATAAATAAATAGATATTTTTACAGTAGACGATAGGTAATTATTAGAATTTTGTTGTTTTCTAAGACATGATATG